TGCATGGAGAAGAGATTCGTAGATTGATCTCCGAAGACTATCCGCCTTTAACTTATCTTTTATATATACTCTTGACCTAGTGTTGACATGAGACTTTTACAAGAATGAGTTCCAGCTCTGATGATGGCCAGCATATGATGGATGAAAGCTCAACCCGTTTCCAACCGAAGAGAGGGAGGATGTATCGTGGACGGCTACAGTACAACGGGCTTCATCCGTCGTCTTCTGGCATATCTCGTAGTTGGCACCTTTATAGACAAGCTGCTCTGACGGGTTGAAGTTTTCGTATTTGAGTAGAGTTTCGAGACTACCAGTAAATCAGTGTAATGAGATGTATTCACCCTATTTCGTGTAAGGTGATGATGGACTGGTAGTAGAATTTTCCCACAATCATATGAGTTGAGCTGATGTTTCCAATGAATTTCACATAGCCTTGCTTTCCCAAGGGGATGAGAGCAACTTTTGGGCAAGCAATGATATGTGAAATTCAATGGCAACATCAGCTCTACTCATATCCTTATGGGAAAATTCTACTACCAATCCTTCATCATTTTAAACGAAATAGGGTGAATACATATCATATCCTCAGTTAAGCAGGCTCTAAATTACCATTACTTTAAGGTCATTAGGCGAGATTAAACAACGAATAGATAAGATTTTCCAAAATGGGTTAAGGAAGCCTCATGATTTTATTTAATTTCCATTAAACTTGCCTTACACAAAACCATCTTATCCAGTGTGGACTGTAATTTAATTTCGGGGACCGTGTAGTGGAAAAGAAAAGTTTGTTTAACCGGACTACGACAATAGATTCCCATTGTACTGTGTACAATTCGCAATTTATCCCAAGGTCAAGAAGACTGTCTAGTTCTATCTTACGTCTTATATACGTCGCATAGCTGAAAAACGAAAATATTTCGACATAAATAGATAAATATTGAATAATTTGGTTACTTCATTTTCATGTTAGTTATACTACTTTTAGTAAAGTATGTGCATGTCGGTATGCATGTGTGCGTGTGTGTGTGTTAATGCAGTACCGATCCTAAATTAGAATGAGGATTTCTCGTGGACTGTGTCAACCTGAACGCGAAAATAAAAGCAAACGGCTGCAGTACAATGAGAATCAGCCCTTTTCTTCTATTTAGATTAAGCCTTACGTTTATTTGTAATGCGCTTTCTTACGCAAGAAAGTCTTCCTCAAAATTATGCCTTGAGAGCTCATTCGAAACCAAGTAACTCTTCGTGTCGAAGCATAACTTTAACTAATCTTATCACTTGATACCATCATCAAAGA